GGGGCTGGCGCGGGATCGGGCAGTGTTTCGTTCTGCTGTGCATGGGGTCGCTATGAGTCGGAAACGACTCGACAGCACTTAACAACAACAACAACAATGTGATGGGGCCTGGGTGGTGCAAACGGTTCATGTGCTCAGATGCTAAAGTGAACGGTAGGAGCTTTAAGTCAACCCAGAGGCACCTGGATGAAAGCCCTGCCAATCTACTTTGGAACAGTCAGTCACTGAAAACCCTATGGAGCACAGCTTACTCTGACACACATGAGGTAGTTGTAAGTCAACTGACTTGAAGGCAACTGACTTAATGTGATAGGATAAAAATGGTTCTCAGAATGTGGTCCTTGAAAGATCAGCATAAACTGGAAACTTGGTAGAAATGCAAATTCTCAAGTCCCACCATAGAGCTACTGAATTGCAATCTCTGGGGGTGGTGTTAAGGCAACTTAAGGTTATTTCGATTAGCAATGAAGTATGAGAACCAATGTGCTTTAGCAAATAAAAAGCAACTCTTATAAATCACTCTTTCCAAAACAAAACAGAACTAAATTAAATGTGAATGTAAACAAACCCCTAAATCCAATAAATTATTTACAAGAAATATGAGGAACAGAGGAACAATAAAGTAAATGATATTAAAGAAGAGAGTGACTTTCAAAACCAAAAAAAACTCACTGCCATCGAGTCAATTCTGACTCACAGCAACCCCCACTGGGTTTCCAAGGCTGTAAATCTTTATGGAAGCAGATAGCCTCATCTTGTGTAGAGTGGCTGGTGGGTTCGAACCACGGACCATTTGGTTAGCAGCCAAATGCCTTAACCACTACACCACCAGAGCTCCTAATATAGTGACTTTACAGCCATGTAAAAACCATTAAGAAATGCATACTGAAAATCCACAAAAGAATTTACTGGAAAAAATGGTAAATTTGGTATTTGCTGTAATAGAAAAGAAAAAAAGGGGAGATAGACAAAACAAGATTGGCAAAATGTTGGTAACTGTTGATGCTGAGTGGTGGATACTTTTTTGACACGTTTGAAATTTCCGTAATAAGAAAATGAAGGGAATAAAAAGCATATAGTGGTGATTATCTCAATAATTTCTTAATTAAACATCTTTATCCATATTCATAAAGTATTCTTTTATAAACTAGACAAGAAGAAATTTTGTTTCAAGTGGATCTCCCCTTCTATTTCAAATGTTATATTATTATTAACAGACTCCTCTTTATACTCCTGAAGGAGCTCTGGTGGCACAGTGCCTCAGGCATTTGACTGCTAACCAGAAGGCTGGCTAAAGGAGCTCTGGTGGCACAATGCCTAAGGCATCTGACTGCTAACCAGAAAGTTGGTGGTTCAAACCCACCAGCCACTCCATGAAAGGAAGACTAGGCAATCTACTTCCATAAAGATTTACTGCCTTGGAAATCCAATTGGAGTTGCTATGAGTTGGAATCAGCACGATAGCAGTGGGTTTGTTTTGGTTTGGGTTTTATTATACTCCTGGGATTAATATAATGCAAGTCAAAGTTAATTGAAGACACAGACCTGAACATATGTGTTTAAATTTAGACTGCACTAGGGAAGCCACTGGTGGCTGTATCGTTGTTTAGAGCGGCTAAGAACCTAAAAGCAAATAAGTACACTTCTTATAAACCCTATGTAGCTACTTTATCTATAGTAGAACTAGTCCCAATTCTAATAATAATACCCTGTTTCAGGTCTTGGCTGTGATCTTTCTGGAGTGAAGTGTCCATCATCCTCCATCCCCATATATGTTGAAGAACTGAGGTAAATTATGGTCAGAATCAGTTTAGAAGAACTACTTACACAGTGTGTGTATAGGGGCAACCCAGAGAAAGAACCACCAAAGAGCACTTTGTTTTTAAGGCATAATAATGATGTTGAATAGGAGCTCCAACTAAATCCAATATAAGGATTTGATTCATGAACCAAAAGCCCTGGCTTCAGTCAGTGGCCTCAGACTTTTACAAGCCTTATGTCTTTTCCCCAAGCACTGACCAGTATGCCTGGACACTGCAAAGCTACAAAGACAGCACACTACTCCAGCTACAGCCCTTTTCCAGTCAGGAGTCCTGATACAAGGCTCAACTGTGCTGTTCCAAACTATGACAGTGGGCAAATTACCTAACATCTCACAGACTGAGTTCGCCTACCTGCCACCATTCATCTCAGGGGGACTCTGGGAGAAGTCTATTGTTGCTCAAAGGAAGAAACACATGTTTTGTTATCAGAGAATAAAACCTACCAGATTTTAAAAGATTTTCTTTATCTAAAAGAAAATCCTCTCTTCTTTTTACTGGAATCTGCTGTACCAGTTACAGAAACAAACACAACAGACTCTGACCCACCTTTTAAAGATTTCCCGGCACAAGTCACATACTTACCCCTTTGCTGATGTAGCCCGCCAGCAAGAGGGAGCCTATGATAATCAGAAAGGTGCCAATCAAAAACAGCACGGTGGCAAGTGCAATGGCCTTGTAAGGGATCTTAGGAGGGCTTTTCTTAAACTGTAAGAGAAACCGGGGGGGGGGGGGGGGTTGGATAGAGAAACATTATAAAAATTCCAGGGCTTGGATACTTTAACACAAAGAGTTTAAAACCAAACTAGGTGATTCATGTGTCCTACCTCCCAGTTCTGGGAGAAAAAGGAAAGGACAGGCAGGAGATGAAGCTCCAGTTATTGCTCTGAGAGTCACTCAAAGCAGTCCCAATGGAATGCCACACACCGTTCACTGTATCATAAACAACTATGTTCTTACAAATATAGAAACCACTTTATGGTCATGCATTCATTGTCATTGCTGTTAAGTGCAACAGAGTCCATTTTTTACTCAAAGCAACCCATGTGACAGAGGAGAACTGTCCCCATCAGGTTTTCTAGACTGTAATCTTTATGGGACCAGATTGTCAGACCTTTCTTCTGTGGTGCCTTCCATTAGCCAAGCACTGTTTTAATCTATGGAGATTCAAGAGTGAGGATCATGTTATGGAGAAGCAAAGTGATTTCTGATATTCAAAGTCACGTCAGCAAATAGTCAAAGATTTTAGAAACATACAAATCTAATTGTTTCTAAACCAATGGTTGCCTGCTCCACAGAACAAGTAATCTAGTTTGTGAACAAATTCAATTTATGGTTAAGATCTAGTGACAAACTTTAAGGTTTTGGCCCCTGATTGTAGCCAATCTAACTGGCTTGAAGCCTCCCAAATCTACTTTTTGGAAAATCTCCCTTCAAGTGCAGGTCCAAAGAGTATAAAGAATAACAGATTTGTTCATATTTAAAAAAATGAGTTCCTACTGTTTCCT